TCTATCTATCTATCTATCTATCTATCTATCTATCTATCTATCTATCTATCTATCTATCTATCTATCTATCTATCTATCTATCTATCTATCTATCTTATATCTCGCCTATCTGGTCGGTTAAGACCACTCTAGGCTGCTTACAGCATAAAAATACACAAAATATATATATAAAAACAGTTTTTACATGATAGAACACATTTCAACAAGATGGGGGCAAACAATGAGGGGGAGGAGAAAGGGGGGACATCAAAAATTGACTGGAGGGAAGGCCTGCCGAAACATCCATGTTTTAGTTAATTTTTAAAGATACCCAGCAAGGGAGCCACACGAAACTGAGGAGAAAAGGGGGACATCAAGAATTGACTGGAGGGAAGGCCTGCTGAAACATCCATGTTTTTAGTTGGTTTTTAAAGATACCCAGCGAGGGAGCCACACAAATCTCAGGAGGTAGGTTGTTCCAGAGGCGAGGAGCCACCTGATTTCTTGTCTTTTCCTTCCGGGCCTCCCTTGGCGTCAGGCTCCTCAGCCTTATCTACCAGTGACACGGGTAGATCTTGGTGGGAGTAGGCGTATCCTCCACTCCACCTGAAGGCACAACGTAGTTGAGAGGTCCAGGGCATGCACAGAGAAGAACTGCCAGAGAGCTTGAGAGAAACAACTGGCAGGTTATATCTGTTGGTCTTCGGCATCTGACAGCTGAGCCTCCTGCCTCACTCTGCCCAATGGCAGGGCCGGCCCAGTTTACAAGATCCTGCTTCTTTAGCGCTTGAGTGAGAGGCTTGGTATAACAATGCTCACTTCTCAGCTCTAAACCCTGCTTTTATATCTATCTATCTATCTACGAATAAACAAGTCCCATTTTGAATATTCCGTAAGTCCGGTAAAATTTTAGGGATTCCTTCCTCATAGACCTCCCCCACCATGTCATCTCCTCAACCGTGCCTCCAACGTCCTGGTTACACAAATCACGGCTATTCTTGGACTATCTAAGAAAATCTGGCAATCTGGGAATGGTGCTAATTATATCTTGGGTATAATTGTCCACATGGAAGAGCTTCTTATAGGAAGCTAGTAAGTCTCTCTCTCTCTCTCTCTCTCTCTCTCTCTCTCTCTCTCTCTCTCTCCTCTCTCTCTCTCTCTCTCTCTCTCTCTCTCTCACACACACACACACACACACACACACACACACACACACACACACACACACACAGAGAGAGAGAGAGAGAGAGAGAGAGAGAGGGGGGGCAGGGGAGAGAGATGTTTAATATCCAGAACAATTAGGGCTAGTCTAAGCAGATAGCTCACAATAAATCCTGGATTTACCATGTCAGAAAACAGATACTGGGAGATGTCATACTGTATTTTGGAATGTTACCTGCATGCACACACACATAACTCATGGTGCGACACATAAAGTTGCTTTAAAATTAATCAGTTACAGCTCCAACCCTCCCTCGATTATGGTTGCAATTTTTTTTATTAAAAAAAATCTATTTTTGCACTTCCCCAAAAATATCTACAGTACATTTAGTTACCTAAAAACTCAAACCAGTGCTATAAGCTACTGCCCAGTTGCACAAAACACACTCTTCTTATATGCACCTCAATACCCACAACAGAATAAGAGCTGGCAGCATCAGCTAGCACCTGAACCATGTGATATTCCTCCTCCGTCATTGAGTAAGGCCTCTTGTCCATAACTAAAATTACACTGATACCATAAAAGATGCAAAATTATCTCTGGTTAACTAATGGTGGCAGCACCTTTTAGTTGTAGATTTGTTGTTGGGAGAAGAGAATTACAAGTAACTCATTTGTAATGAGCAATGAGTAATTTGTAATGAGTTACTAATTATTTGTAATGAATTCTTTCCACTCTGCTTCTCATAGCCACTGAGCTGTTCAACCATGTAATGTTTCACCCGCGGTCTCAAGCGGGTACAGTCCAGGGGCCGTCTGACCGCATGGCACATTCCAGCAGTATTTAAAAAGTATATGTATGTGGGCATCCCCGTCGTTTCTTGGTATCCAGTCTTCAAAAGTTCTGGAACTCAAACATGTGCTTTTGAATGACAACGGAGTTGATCTTAATAATGGTACTACCATACACATTGGGTACTTTTTCTCAAAAAAAAAAATCAGATTGGCAGGTTGATTGATTGATTGAGACAATTGGGCATATATTGTATAATACACAGAATTTGTTCCAAATCTTCTCTTAGAACAACTCCATCTGTTACAACTGATGTATGAAATCCTAGAGTTACTCTTAGATTTCCTGTAGCTAACTATAAAGCAGGGCTAGGCTTCAGGCTGCTCCTAGAAATATTTTTAAAGCATCCTAACATCTCGAGTACAAGAAGCCCCCCTCCCCTGAATTTTTATTATTATTATTTTTTGCTCAAAACCTTGTACTTTCTATAGGAGATAGGGGCATTTAAGCTATGTTTTCAGGTTGGCTCAGAACCTTGGCCCCTTACCCCTCTTTAAAATAAATATATAGATATTTTTGGCCATTAGAGGCCACTGCTGTAAGTTTTAAAAACACTTTTTTTTCAGTTAACCCATTTTTCAGTTAACAAGAAGCCACTGGAGCACCCTTACAGCACATAAATACTGTACAAAGAAAAAGATGCAATAATATACAAATGTCACTTCTTCCCCCCACCTCCTCTCCTTCTTGGGGCTACAGCTCTTGGTCTACCGGGAAATCTGAAAAATAGCTCGAGGCTCCTTTGCAGTCACCCACTCCTGTCATGAAGTATGGACACCATGTGTATGTCTCCATGTTGACCTTCAGCTATAGCAGAACTCCCAAAGCACTGACTATCCAGTATTTAGAAGTGTGTGAACTCATATATGTCTTCCACATTTTATATGTATTGGCACAGTGAATATTAACCTTCATGGTAAACTCTGGTTTCCCACTTAGTGGGTGTCTAACTGTTGTCCATTGTATAAGGATGACAGTGAGGAAGATGGAGTTTTCTTGAGAGCCACCAGCCAGCCAGCGCCTGGCTAAACGGTCCACGACCGAAGAGCAGACCTGGCATTGAAGGTTAGGCATAAACTAGAAGCCCCTATGTGACCTTATCCATTACTGGATTTAACATTGATTCTCTCTGTCTTGAGTGGTCTATGGATATAGCTCAGTGTGTGCTGGGGAGCCAGGAGATTATCTTTCTCACAACAGTCAGGTCTATCTTTCAATGGTTTCTGTTGTCTCCGTCACCATTTGTCTGTGAACCTTCAGACTGCATTGCCTATGACAACGGACGGCAGGCACGGTGGCCCTGCTGTAAGTTTTAAAAACACTTTTTTTTTAGTTAACCCATTTTTCAGTTAACAAGAGCCACTGATCTGTGAAACGCTGTGCTCCGTAACACACATAAATACTGTACAAAGAAAAAGATGCAATAATATACAAATGTCACTTCTTCCCCCCACCTCCTCTCCTTCTTGGGGCTACAGCTCTTGGTCTACCGGGAAATCTGAAAAATAGCTCGAGGCTCCTTTGCAGTCACCCACTCCTGTCATGAAGTATGGACACCATGTGTATGTCTCCATGTTGACCTTCAGCTATAGCAGAACTCCCAAAGCACTGACTATCCAGTATTTAGAAGTGTGTGAACTCATATATGTCTTCCACATTTTATATGTATTGGCACAGTGAATATTAACCTTCATGGTAAACTCTGGTTTCCCACTTAGTGGGTGTCTAACTGTTGTCCATTGTATAAGGATGACAGTGAGGAAGATGGAGTTTTCTTGAGAGCCACCAGCCAGCCAGCGCCTGGCTAAACGGTCCACGACCGAAGAGCAGACCTGGCATTGAAGGTTAGGCATAAACTAGAAGCCCCTATGTGACCTTATCCATTACTGGATTTAACATTGATTCTCTCTGTCTTGAGTGGTCTATGGATATAGCTCAGTGTGTGCTGGGGAGCCAGGAGATTATCTTTCTCACAACAGTCAGGTCTATCTTTCAATGGTTTCTGTTGTCTCCGTCACCATTTGTCTGTGAACCTTCAGACTGCATTGCCTATGACAACGGACGGCAGGCACGGTGGCCCAAAACATCTGGAATGCCAAAGGTTCACCATCCCTGTTCTAGGGGGTACATCTGGTCTCAGAAAGGCTCTTTTGCCCCCTCAGTTGTTCTAACTTTAAAGTAACTTTGGTTTTGAAAAAAAATAGGCAATGGCACCTGCAGCTGTAGTTGAGGAGGGGCATAAATTGTTTCCACGGCCTCCAAGAATGACTTGTTATCATCCTCGGGTAATGTTTTAACGCCGTTTGTCAGCGAGATGGCTGACAAACCTACAACACCTAAAAGGTGTAAGAACACCTGAGTTATCAACTCCTGCCATGATGGACCCAAGATTCCTGGATCCTTGATCTGTGAAACGCTGTGCTCCGTAACTAGTCATGGGTCTTTATAACCCATTCCATAGCAGACATATTACACTCCAGGTGTGTTTATTCCCCTTATTCCTCTATCTCCTGCTCATTTGATTGCTTCGATGACCCAAATACCCCTGGTCATCCCCATTGCTATCATCATATATGAAATGGCTTGAAGCCTGATGATGGTTGGTTTCCGTGGATATCCTTTGTATTTTTCAGAAACCAAAAAAAGGGGGTCAGAATCCTTTTCCCCTGTCTGCAACATTTGGGAGAGAATCCATGTATCCTATGAAGTCCTTCGAGACAAACATTCCCCCGTATCAAATAACCAAGTATCTAATGGCACTTTCCCTTTAAGGAAATTACGATTAATGAAGAACTAAATTGCAAATCCATTAGGTTTTAGTCAGCATAGCAACACTGCATGGGGAGGGGAGGGAGAGGGGTGCATGAATGCTCCAAAAATCCAATAATGTAACCTCTGGTAAAGCATGAAAAACCCTGAAGGACAAAGCAGTTAGATCAATATTAGTTTATTTCAACTGCTGTGCAGTACGAAGAGGCGAAACCGATCATCCGATGGATTTTATTACCTGTTGGAGAGATAAGTCCTGGTGATAAGAGGCCGGGCACTCCGTGGGGCAGGAGACGCGTGTTCTCTTGTATCGCAACCCCCAGAGAGCGCTTGGGGGGTCTCCCCGGTCGTGAACTGTGGAAACAAAAGTGAAAATAAACTTTAAGTGCTCTTTTGTCAAAAGGATTTGCATAGTAATGCACTTTGCATTGATTTTTAAGGCCTTGGTTGGATTCAAAACCGGCTCCCGGGAGCTTAACTCTTTCCTTCCCCAGAATCCACTTGATCTTTCCATCCTGTCTTTGAGTTGCCACTGAACAACCGTCTTCGCTCAGATTTTGACAAGTGGGGAGGCACAAGGGTGTGTATACTCGCATATGAGTGCATGTGTGTAACTTCATTTTGCACAAATATAAGCTCATTTTGTTGGGCAATCTCACAAATAAGATAGCCTCGCCAGATGATCCAGTGTTACTACCTTTCTACCTAATGGATTTTTATGACTTATTTCCTCTCAAAATGTCAGAGTGATATACTACAAACAAAATGAGACTGTAACAAAGGTTTAGCTAAACGAACAGGACTAGCCCCAAAGGCCTGTGGTTAAATCATGCCACCCTTACCTGTAAAATGGAGCTAATCTGCTCTAGTACTTATTTAATCAGATTCACTTCTGTACAATTCATGTAATGTTTACCCACTACCATTACATCAACCGCAAGGACAGTGTCACAGAACTCAATGAAACGTGTGCTACTCGGGCAGGATCATCCTCCAAACCAACCCACACACCCTTGCTTGTGAGACTTTTTGAAAGAATGTTGTACAGGAGAACTCATTCCCAAACTGACTACATCCATTTATCATTTTGACTTCTCCATCCCAACCTCCCTTCATAGATTGATTGGCATTTCTGGATGGTATGCAAGGGGCTCAGCTAACAACCTCAGCTTGGCAATTCAATATCTGAGTTACTGTTAAGAATCCATAGTGTAAAAGGTGGGGGGAAATGGTCTGTGTTTTTATTCACAGCTTCCGTCCATCACTCTAATGTGAGCCATCTGGCATAACATTTTTCAGGTGCCCCTTACCCAAAGGAGGTTCAATTCTTGCCCAGAAAATAGGCTGTATCCTGGTTATATTGCCCCAGCTACCATAATGGGGTGGAGACCATGTAATCTGTAGGCCCCGGGTGCCCCCCCCCCCCGTCATTTCATTGGCCACCTGATACCTACTGCGTACCCGCCTGTAAAAAAAAATTAAATCAGAGAACAATTCAGTCCTGGCAGATGACTGTTCTACTCTATAAGATCTGCCCTCAACATTAATCTGTCTTTTCATGTAGTTAGAAGGAGACAAACCCACCTCCCGTTTCAGCCACACCACTGAATTTCAGTAGTCCTGGGTGGTGGATAGAGGACAGTGGAATTTATGAGCCCCTTATTTGTCAAAGTTTCTCATTTCTGATTTGGGGAGAGGAAGATCACCCTTTGTCACAGCAAGGGGAACCCCCCCACACACACTATTTTTAGGTCCTACTAACATGATGGTTCGACTTCTATAATTCGTACTTCATAAGGTATGGAAGCTTTGGGGCTGAAAAGGACAGTAGAGATGTTTAAAGAAAAATCAATTAACTGATAAACATATTCAACTGAATAATGAGGAAGGGGGATAGGAATAGTTAGAAATCAATGGGACACCATCTAGCTAAATGAGGTGTGGTGATGGATAGGGCAAAGGACACTAAGGAAGGATGACAAAACAATCAGGCTTCGCTTCCCTTCAGACTTCCATCTGAAACAGGCACATTCCTGAAACTGACTCTGAATACAGAGTCAATTTCCAAATGCTGATCTGGATAGTTTGGGGGGTGGATGAAATTCTGAAATACACCATGATACATCTGCTAACGAGTGCCATTGTTACACCAGTTGTGTGGTTTTTTTCCATTTCCTCTCATGCTTCAAAGTTTCACACCAAGCCATAGGCATTTCTTGTAGGGTAACCACTGCATTCCTGACAGAACTGCTGGGTGGCTCAGTGGCATATCCAGAGGTTGGGAGTTCGATTCCCCCTTGGGCCTCCTTGACAGGCATGGGACTCCATGATCCATAGGATCTCTTCCAGCCCTGCAATTTTTTAGTAGTAGTAGTAGTTGTTGTTGTTGTTGTCGTTGTTGTTGTTGTTGTCGTTGTTGTTGTTGTTGTCGTTGTTGTTGTTGTTGTCGTTGTTGTTGTTGTTGTCGTTGTTGTTGTTGTTGTTGTTGTCGTTGTTCTTGTTGTTAACACACAAGTTTTAACAGAAAACCTAAGTATCTGTTGCTGCCGTCATTTAGTTTTAACAGAAAACCTAAGTATCTGTTATTGTTGCTGCCGTCATTGTCATCTTCACTGTACAGTGGTGCCTCGCTAGACAATGATAATCCGTTCCACTGAAATCGCTGTTTATTAAAATCATTGTCTAGTGAAAAGCATTTCCCCATTGGAATGCACTGAAACCTGTTTAATGCGTTCCAATGGGGAAGAATCGTCGTTGTCTAGCGAAGCTTGGCCATAGGAAAGCCGTTTTGCGAACTGCCAATCAGCTGTTTAAATAGCTGGCTTGCAAAGCTTAGGTCCCGAAAACACCTGTTTGCGAGCGCGGAGGGAGCTGTCAAAGTAGTCGTCTAGCGAAAATCGGTTTGCAAAGTAGGGACCAAACATTGTCCAGCGAAATTCCCCCATAGGAATCACTGTTTTGCGAATTGCTATAGCGATTGCAAAAAGCCAATGTCTAGCGAAAAAACTGTCATGCGGGGTAACTGTCTAGAGAGGCACCACTGTATTAAGATGGGTCATCACGTGACTTCAGAATGTTTTCTGGAGTATTTAGCTAAACCATTAGGTTTCCCTTTAGTTGGCCTTTGACTCAAACTTTGAAGTATAGAATTGATCCAGATGAGGGGCACACCTGTGTCTATGCTCTCTCCTCAGCTAACCAAAGCGCAGTCTTGAGTCCCTGGTGGACCAAGAAGCTCCAGGTGATAAGGCGCAGATGATGGGATGGTTGGAATGTACACAGATGGAATGGACTTGCATGCATTGTCCTATGCTGACCTTGCCATAGGCTCAGCTAGTACTGATGGGTCTTGTAATCCAAATCCCAGTAGTGGGCCTTCCCTGATCTAAAGGCTGGTAAAGCAGCTCTTTTCTCAAGTATTAATTCTTTAATCAGAAGACAGTGATGATGGTGAGAGAATCATAGCAACATTGTTACCAAATTGTTACTAATGTTATCACTGCATCTTGTTGTTTGTATTGGTAGTGTTATTGTGTTGCTCCTCTTGTTGATGCTGTTTTATCTAATTTTAAACTGATCATACAGAGTGACTATGAGTTAGATGCGCATATGGCCAATACGACCAATCGTGAAGTATACCATACTTAAAAGCTAAAGTATAAGAATTAATAAAACACTCATGTAGAGTATTGTGAATTTTTTATCTTTACTAACAGCACTAAACATCACTGAACTTTTCCTTCTTTCTCTTTTCCTTGATAGAAACGCCTTCTGCCTGGAAGATTAATAGAACTTTTGACAAATATTGTATTACGCAGTCAACCAGTGCTAACAAATAAGAGGTTCAGAGCAAAAATGAGCCCCCCCATGACTTTCTTACTCATGAAAAAAAACAGAACATAAGCTTCACTCGATCAAGTTTGCAGTAATAACACTGTTTATCAGAAGGAGACAAAGGTTTAAATGACAGGAACGTCTAGTATCACTGCACAGAAGTACCATTACTGGATTCATGTTCCTGCAGAATGTGCATACTGTATTTATTTTATTGTTCATTTATCTAGCTCTCGCACACATCATGAAATAATTCCCGAGTTCACTACTTTTAGCCCAACAGTACAGTGATTTCTTCCAAAACTTTACTCTGGGGACTCTTCTGCAACACAGCTCAATATGACATGACATAACAGCATGCTGTACAGACATTTTTCATCACACATCTTATAGAGAGAACTACTCTTGTGCAACCACCACAAAATGCCAAGATTTTTCAAATCATCATACTCCCCTATTCAAGCGTGTTGTTTTGCCCATAATATATTGCAGGTCAGTCTGCTGTTGTGTCCATGATCATTACGACACATTTGCATATAACCTACACCAAGAACTGGGAGCCAATAAACATTGGAACATATAGAGGATGCATTTGCAATACAATACCTCTGCGTTCCTTGGAACAGTTTTAAAAACTGTAAAAACAGCCCCAAAATGCTATTGAGCCAATGAGAACAAAGCCATTTCCTTAAGGATTTCCGGGGGATGTACACTTGACTCCCATCAGAACAGTCTTCCTAGATGCTGGACTGTACACTTCTGTACATCAGTTTTTATGAACAAAGAAAGACAATCAGCCCTCCTGTATATACAACTGCTTGTTTTTAGACACTACACCAAGCCTTACTTAGGGAAGCTTGGCTACGCTTAGAAGACGCACCATAAACATAGTTTCCAACGATGGCCAACAAAACAAACATGAAAAACAAAGCTTTAAACTGGGACAGCAAACCAAAATTTCTGTCAGCTATGGTTAGGTGTGATGATGGAACTGATGAATCATAGTCAAATCTACAAAGCCCATTCTGGAAACACCACAGAAATAGGAATGACAAAAAGACAGAAGAAGAAAGTGGACTTGTTATTGTTGTTTAGTCGTTAAGATGTTAAGAATTCTGACAAACTGGAACGAGTTTAGAGGATGGCAACAAGCATGATCAGGGGACAGGAAACTAAGTCCTATGAGGAAAAATGGAAAGAACTGAGCATAGTTAGACTTGAGAAAAAAGAGTAAGAGGAAATATGATTTGTTGTTGTTGTTTAGTTGTTACGTCGTGTCCGACTCTTCGTGACCCCATGGACCAGAGCACGCCAGGCCCTCCTGTCTTCCACGGCCTCCCAGAGATGGGTCAAATTCATGTTGGTCGCTTCGATGACACTGTCCATCCATCTCGTCCTCTGTCGTCCCCTTCTCCTCTTGCCTTCACACTTTCCCAACATCAGGGTCTTTTCCAGGGACTCTTCTCATGAGACAGCCAAAATATTGGAGCCTCAGCTTCAGGATCTGTCCTTCCAGTGAG